TACAAAAATAAAATTCAAAAATAGTATCTCAGTGTCAAAGTCATTACTACCTTATTTTCATAATATTGATCTTTCATCCAAGTACAAGAACCACCCATACTGAGTAATAATAGCTAAGGCAAAAAAATACTAGACCTTAAAAAGAGAAGCAATCTACTGTCACACAAGAAAATACATATCTAGACTTTAATCTCATCATAATGATGCAAAGGATCATATGCATATCCAAAAAACCAATCACTGGAAAGATTTTCCTTCCAGTTAAATCATTCCATCATAGAATAAATTTGATCTAGAAAAGAAAATTTCTATTCACAATAGCAGAACTGAACACAGAATATTAATTAACCAATAATGCAGAATAATATGTAGAAAAGCAGAAAACTAGAGGTAGTAATAGCAACTCTCACCTCTTTGATACAAGGCAGCCAGATTGTTATTAAGCCATCTAAGCATGAAAAAGAGACTACAATAATACTGTCTGAATAAACTGATCAGCTCATAACTGTTTTATGTAACGAGATCTCTTTTCATACTTTTTTCCACATTTTCCCTTTTACCACATTTGTGGGTTTTGGTTTTTTTCTAAAAGAAAAAAAAATCCCAAACCTTTCTTTCTTTTGTCTACTCAGCATCCTTGGAAAAAACCACCAGATGGCAATGCAGTGTTCAAGTATTTCATTTAACATATATCTTATAGGGAAAAAAGTCTATATGCATCAGCATGAGGCTCTCTTTCCTAACCTACTTCCTCTTTGATGAACATTAAATAATTCATAAGCCAAAATTCTGTTCAGCAGAAGTAAGTGATTAAATACCATTCAACCTGTAAAGAAGAGACTTTTAGAAATCTATGTTCTATGAATGTAAAACCACATGACAAAAAAAAAAAAAAAAAAAAAAAAAAAAAAAAAAAGAACCAACAATTTAGTTCAAACTATGAAACTGGATAATTTCAGGAAAAGTCACTGAAAGGAAAACATTTAGAAATGCATTACCATAAAGTTCTCAAAATACTATCAAGGACAGACCTAATTGCATAAAAAGTAAATCTACACACTTAGGCACAGCACAAATTTATTTGTAGTTTGGTTTCATGCTAAGAAAAAGGCATTTTCTTCTACATTTTTGAAGTTTAATTCCATTCCTGTAAAACTCAAATCCTGTAAAACTATGCACTGAATGAATCAAAATATGTAGGCTTTAAGTATTTATTCTTCTTTTGCATCAAACAGATCACTGTGATCAGACAGGAACTGTTTCATGAAGGAAGATGCTTTAAGGAGTAAAGGAGCTGAGAAGTAGTGCAAGAATCAGCTTCTCATTTAGCAAATCTTATCTGAGATCTATTATTTGATAAAAGAAAGTTCCTCTTTGCAGTTACTGTTTTGCTCTGAAGCTTCTACGGTTCAGGGAGACTTCACTGAATACCTGAAACACCCAATTAATAACCATGATGTCCACTGTGCAGTTAGTGGTTGGAACAGGGAAGCTTACAGCAAAGAATCCTTTTTTTCTTTCTTGAGAAGGCATTACAGCCTGTAGGTGTTGTATGGTCAACTCTACTTGACAGGAAAAGTTTAGGTGTGCTTACAAGTCTTTTGCATGCACGGATTAGGAAGAAGTTTCTTGTATCATCTATATTTAGTAATGCAATTTTTACTACAACTGCTCACCCATCCATTGTCATGTAACAAGCACAGTCATCACATGGTCTTAATGTAAAAGAAATCCAACATAATTAAAGAGCAACTTGAAACTGTTCAGAACTTATTTTAAATAGTAACTGGAAAAAAAAGTCTCTTCTGTCAGAGAGACACAATCATACAAGATAAAGTGTTAAAAAAGTAAGTTAAAAAGCTGTGACCAAATTAATTTAAAGTATGTTTTCTGTGTAATGTAATATTTGATTAACACTGTTCCCTTTATTCTCTATATTATTATATTTATTTGATTCATAGCACACAGTGGTAGAAAGATTCAAAGACTACCTTGAAGTAATTTAAGAGCTTTGTATGAGGACTGCTCTCATGACCAGAAATAAAATCCAATGCAGCACAACCTAAGCTTTCTTCTGTTATAAAGTCTTTTTAACCCTCTTCTCAAAAAAACAAAACAAAGAATAATATATTGATTCTAATTGTTTCCACATATAGCTAATCACTTGATATAACTTGATACTCTCAGTCCTGAAAGCCAATAGATGACCAGACTTGCTATGGATTTTTAGAAAGTGACTTTCTGAAGTTCTTGAAAAATCAGAGAAGTTGTTGGAAATGTATCTCCACCAGACTGACAAACTCATTATTTTATTAATCACTATCTTTTTAGCAGAACTGATAAATAAACAGAAAACAGGTCAAGTACTCTGACTATATTGACATATTTTCAAGGACAGATCTCTTTTTTATATTAAATACTGAAAATATAAAAATAAAAGTAAAATAAACTATATAATATATTTAATAAATATAGTAAAATAGCTAATATATATGAAAATATATGCATTGGATAAATAAATAAATAGATAAATAAATAAAGAAAGAATGCAACTTCTGTGTTTTTAGGTTTGGTCATCAGAAACAGGCTCAGCAAAAGTGAATTAGAAGAAATAAATATCAATTAAAACAATAATTTAGCATACTGATGTAAACTTTGTAACTTTATTACATTTCTGTAATTTATGACAGAGAAGGAAGTAAAGAAAAGCAGTACATCTCAAAAAGGTGGATACTGCAACTCCATATTTATAACAACTTATAAGTACAAAATATTACTTTTAATTTTTTTTATTTGCTTTCATGGTGACATTTCAAGGACAAAATGCACTCACAAGTGGAACTGACTGAAGAGATTTAAACCATGCCTTCACCACGTTCTGCCTCTGGCTAACATGTTCACATAAAACTCAAGTTCTACTTTTCAAGTCGATATTTTTACCTACTCACAATTATGAGTTGCACTAATATTAGGAAACCATTTATATTTTCACAGTACACATAAGTCAATCTTATTTTGTTAAAACTCCTGTTAAATAAGGTTTTCTTGGTAGAAACACTTCAGCATTGCAAAAATAGCCCTCCTGAGCATCCAAGGGATGTAAAAACTAAACCAAGCCAAACCAAATCAAACAAACAACAACAAAAGCAAACCAAGAACCATCACACACTACTACATTCCACCTAGCACTAAAGTTCTTCAAATCTTAAATCACAAAGCAGCATGACCAAAGGCAGAAGGATCTGAGATTTCAGTAAATGAGAGATTTTTTCCTTTTCACATCCAGTATGGCAAACTGCCCCCTTGGTGATACATCTAATTGAAGCTCTACACAGGAGAAGCATGCAAAAACCTCAAGACCCCATGTTACAGTAAGATATGATACAAAGATTTCCATTATAGTTTTTCCTTTTTCTTACAGCATCAGGATGAGAACAAATTCTATATATTTCTATATATATTCTATAATTTCTATATAAATTCTATAAATTCTATATATTTCTATATATATTCAAAAATGTTTTTTCTTTTGCTGGACAGCAATTATATTACTTTCCCAAAAATAAATTTCATTGTATATTTACCATTTTTTCCTTGCATTGGTTAATTGGATGAAGAGCATACGGGCAAAAAGTTATGAAATAAAATACAAAGACAACCCAGTTTATCATTGTCACTTTCAAGTAACAGGTGATAGCTGGACTTCTTTTAGTTCCTTAAGAATGGATGTCTTTGTAAAATTTACTTTAAGATCAATAATGGTTTTACTGTATTTAAATTAAGGGGCCTTGACTTCAAGTTTAAAAGTATTAAATCTTAATCAATCAGGACAATGTTAGCCAGACATATTCAAAGGATATCTACATTATCTATCAAGGCTACAGCAGCTTATACACACTTCCACCTATTGCCAGATCCTTTGGTCTGCACTCAGTCTGTGTATTTCAGTTTTCTTGAGTTTAAATAACCCCAAATATACTTTATTCTTGAGTTTTCATTAAGGAGTACTTTACTTTGTAGTAGTACTCCATGTTTGCCTTTCCTACGTCAATATTTCCAGCTACTAAAATATTGGAGATACAATCTATTTCATTTTGCTGTTACAAATATAATCCATTGAAAAGGCAAGGTATAATTTAAGATGTTGCCAAAAATGTATAAAGAGCTGTGTTCTCCCCAAGCACCAGTTTACAACTACTACCAACCAGAAGACAAAAATAAATCAGAGACAGACTTCTGGAAAAGCACAACAAAAGCTACCCAAAACACTCCAATGCCAAAAGGAAACTTACAACTAACAACAAACCCAATTAACTAATTCAATCAACATGGGATTAAGACTTTCATTAATCCACCAACAAGGAATTAAGGCTTTCATTAAGGATTTAGTTTTCTTTAGTGCAGTATAGCAAGATAGGTTGCAGAAGTAGAATTCTATTTTTTTTCATTACCCAGTGAAAAGCCAAAGAGAGTAAAATTAGAATTTCAGGGTGACAGAGAAAGAATGAATCCAACTGTCTGAATACCGACTATTTTTCTTTGCTGAATTAGACTCTTCAACCACGTATTAGCTAAAACCCACATTTTGCTGTTCACTTTTCATGGTTATTAAATTTAATGTCTTTGATCTATTTGTTGTTGTTAAATCCAAATTCTATGATCTTAATTTTCCAAAGTATATAGTAAAACAGATAAATCCGGTAACCCAACAACACTGACTGTAACGTAGTCTTTTAAGTTAAAAAGTTCTGGGAATAACTTTCCTTCAACAGGTGAAAGGTTATATTCATTTCACATTACACATCTGATTTTTTTTTCATTAAGTCCACATAAAGCAATAGTCAAAAATATATAGAAGCTGCCAACTCCTCTTGCTGCAGAATGTGAAACCCTCTTAACTGTATTCCAAACCACCATAACAACATCCTGGTGTATGCTTGCAAACATTAAGCACTTCTTTCCAAGCCAGACTGTAACCACAGAGATAAAGATTTACTTACCTGATCCCCTTTTGGTTACAACCTTCAAGCTCTGAGTCAGAGTAGCATACAAGAGAATCAAGTTGGGAATAGGAGCTTTCATCTTCTGTCTTTCCGTGACTGCTTCCTGGAGTACCAAAAAAAATAGAAAGAAACACTGGTTGTACACTGGTGCTGAAACAACAAACAACCTTGAAGTAAATAATCATAATAGTGACATTGTGGAAAAGCTAAATACAGTTTTTGTGAGCAATTTAAAGCACTAAAAATGTTTTATTCTTTCTTTTAAAAAGTATGCAAACCAAAATCACTATAAAACAAACACATGCACATACTACATTTAACCTTGGAACTTAAGCTACAACTTTTTCTACATATTGAAAATCCATGAGGTCCCTGCTAAAACTTTATAAAAGATCTCCTGAAACATCTATTTATTTCTTTTTATCATACAACCTTTTCCACCCACCAACATGAAAAAGAAAAAAATGCCCTTCATTACTTTTGCTCTCACTTATTAATATCACAAATTGAGCAGAAATTCACAATAAAATGAACATTTGATTTAAAAAAAAAAAGATCATCTTCTTGGGAACAGAGAAAGGGGGGAAATAAGAGAACATCAAAGTAACCAGCATAGACACTTACAACTTCCTTTTAGGTGAGCAACTTTCCATGCAAGTTCAAACTAACATATTCACTGCACTAAATCAGAAGTGAATGTTAATTAGAATGGAGATAAGCAGAGCACAGACTGTGCTTTAGCCTTCACCTCCAACATGTGAATAAAAGATTTGTATTTCTATTTATTTACTCTGGGTATTAAGTGGTATGAACTGGTGGAGAAAGCAGGGACTGAACATTTTGTTAATTCCTCATATAAGTAAGAGGAATTAATGTCATCTACTCGTGATGATTATCAGCTTTCTTCAGAATAAGTTGATAGGGCTAATATCTTGTATTTCAGTGTGTTGAAAGAGGAAAGGAGGACAAATCTGTCTATTCAAGCTAGACAGCAGCCTATCTATGCTATCTATATTCATTAGAGTAGCTTACACAAAAAAATCTTGTCTAATGGGGATGAGAAAGGGCTGGGATCAATGGTTCTTTAATATTATAACTAAGACCCAGACTAAACCAATGTGGTTTTGATATTCACCTCCATTAATCATAGCACTGGACAGCAACTGAAAGAAATTCTCAGAAGGGGCCACATAGTACAAGTTTTGATTTCTAAAGAGACTGTGAATCTTTTGCACTTTCATTGATAATCAGGTTACTGAGTACCTAAGACATTTTTTGAAAGCAGTATCTTAAAATATCTTCATCTTAGAAGAGAACAGGTTAGAAATAAGAAACATCATCAGCATAAAAAAGGACGTTATGGGAAAAATTGCTTAAAAATTATGACTTCATATATAATTTGTATTAAAGCTTTACATTTCATGACATTTCAATACTAAGCACAAATCTACTACATTCATTACTATGCATTTAGTAAAGATGAGGAAGTGAGATAATATATTTTGACAAGTTTGTATATCTTATTTTTTTATAAAAATCTTTGTACTCACAGAGAAATACACAAATGTTTGTTCATTCATGGTCTTTGACAAGCTTCAGCATTCTAGAATCAGTGAAAGACTCACCTACATTCAAATGCTACTTCAGAAAATTTAGCCAAATTAGAAATTAAATATGAAATATGGGATTGCTAGGAGGTAAATTATGTGTAATACTAACATTTTTAGTTAACTTTAAAATTTAACAAAGTAGCATCACCACTGGCAGTTATAAATAATATAGATCTTAAGAAATTTAGAAGCTAGCAATAAAGGTTAATTTTCCAGGAGCACAGTGAGTAGATACCAAAATGTGTTATGCCACATTTTACTGCAGACCTTAGTCAAGCTTTCTGAAATCAAAATCTCATTTCTCAGTCACTGCACTAACTGATGCCGCAGGAAATCCTGAAGCTGATATCTTCAGCCTCCAGGGAACTAGCAAGAGTCTGTGTGAGCCTAATAAATATTGCCCAAAGAGCCACAGGATCTTACTACGCAATTACAAATCCAGTAAATAGGTTCTGACTGTGAAAGCATATCCAAATACATCCTTTTTGACCATACATCAAAAGATAATATTGCTGATCACTGTGAATAAATGCAAATATATACATATATTTGCATATGTATGTGCATGCATGTATTTATTTGTATTTATAGATATTTGTGTAGGGAAGCCGTGGGGCAGCTATAAAGATTGATTCTATCAAAGCAAGCCTCGGTAAATACAATAATATCAATAAGAAACTGTTCAGTAAATGAAAATCTTTTCTTGGTCCATGCATATATCACTAATTTAAGTTGTCAAGACAATAAGGGGAATATTATTATAATAATATAGCAGGAATTGCATTTTAAAAATATCACCATGGAAGACGTTCTCATGTGCATTTATTCTCAGAGATTCAGGTCTAACTTAAAGGCATAAGCTAAACTGGCTGCTGCCTACATGACTTGTGGTAAATCCCTAGAAAGTAAAGTCTGCTGCTGTCTTTGGAAACATCAGAAAGAACTTTCTGCCAAAGGGAAAAAAGAAGGGAGGGATGACTCCCAACAGCAGCCACTGCCTCCTTACAGCAATATAAGCAACATATCAGATCGTACATAGGCTCTCCCCAGAGCCTTCCAACCCTTCTCTTCTGTTTACACTCCCTTTTGTGAAGGAGGAGAACTATTTCTGGTCTTCTCTACATTTTAAAAACCAAATGCTCAACCAAAGAAAATGCAAAGAAGTAAAGATCAGTTTACTGGAGCTGGTGCCTCACAGCTCTGGAAGTTGTCTGGGCGGTTGGGAAATCTGCCTCCGGTTATTCATATGAGTGATTCAAAACAGATATTTAACATCTCTTGTCCCTTGCTCCGGGTGAATGCCTCAGAAATTGACTATTCTAGAAAATGTCACCCTTGTGAAATTGGTTGTGAAAACAAAATAAGCAAGTCAGAAGAAAATATAAAAGGAACATCCCAAGGGGAATCTCACAACAAGTCAACAAAGTCAACAGGAAATGCCTTCACTACTGCAATGAGTATGCCCGAGGCCTGGACACTGTAACATACTCAGGTAGCTTTTAAACTGGAAAACAAAATAAAAGGCATAATTCTGTGAAGTCAAATTCTTAACACTAAGTAGAGCGTGATATCTCATGCATTGGAAATAGCCTTCTTTCAGCAATTAATTTTTTAAGGAAGAGACTATTTTACTAGTTGCTTAGCTGGAATTTTTTTTTTTTTTTTTAATAACAATAAGAAATTCTGATTTTAACAAGCAGGACAAGTCTGCTGTTTCTTTAAGCAATAGTTAGATAGACAGTTTACATATACATCTACAAAAGTAATTTTTATGGTTGTTCCTTTTTCTGATTTTCAGTTACTTCCACTAAAAAGCCAAGACAATGTATGGTCTTTATAAACTTAATTGCTGTTTTTTAAGCTGAATCTATTTTAACATGTTTTACATACCCTTTGGGTATAAGACTGCTATACTCCAAGGGTGAATAGTAGACTAAGAAAGTCTTTTAGAACCAGGGATTTTTGGCTGCCTTTTCTTTTTACAATACCAAAGATGAAATATTTTTTCATCTTTAAGCAGTATTTACAACTTCAGATTTTCAGTAGTGTGTTGTTTGTTTGTGTGAACCAAAGCACTGAAAAAAATGTTAAGTATTTCTGCAGAAATATATTGCACACAAATTTTAACTGGGAATATGAATAACTTTTTTAAAAATTCTTTTCTGTAGAAGGTGTCACTGCTTGACACAAAAGTGCCATAGCATAGCATTTGCATCAGAAAGTATCTAATTTTCCAGTTGAGACAGAAATAGAAATACAACTGTATATCAAGACTAACATTCTTTGGGGAAATGCCAAGAATGCTTTTTCTCTTCAATTGTCATAAATACTCACTGTGAGGAAAATGCATACACATAGACACATCCTTCCCAAAACAGCTCAGCAGACATCGAATTAACTATAGTAAAGCAGTTCCTGATAAGGCAGGAAAATAGAAAAGAAAATTTTGATTTCCTCATTGTACTTACTATGGGCCTTTCCCAATACTTGAATCAAACTTAACTGAAGTAAGTTTTAGTAAGTTTTCCATGGGCTCTTCCAGTCCCTTAAAATAACTTTAAGGGGATGATTCTCAGTTAGCCTATAACTGCTAGCTGATATCTGTTGACTAATTAGTTGAAAACCATTTTTCTTCCCATACTGCTATTCTAACTTTGAAGAATGTTTTTTTATACATGTTACGAACTGCTGCATTATCTTTCTCCATCATATGCCCTTCAAAGAAAAAGCAAAAGCAAAAGAATATTGCAGCATCCTCTGAAATCTTCAAGATATTTCATGACTGTTCTGCAGTAATAACAAAAATGCCTGTTCAGTAGTATTCTCTTTTTAAGTGGTAGTTCTTTACAAATCCCTGAACAGAATGATATTAGATCTCACAAGGTGTAAAGGACAGTTTGGTATATTCAGAACACAATTCAAACATCTTGGAAAAAAAAAAAGGTTTAAATTCCTAAAATGCAAGGAAAAACTAAAATAAGAATCAATGTGATTTCATAAACATGTCAATTCATTGTCATGAGCTGACCTAGAACAGTAAGATAACCCTAGCAACTCTTAAAATGGTAGCTAAAAGAAAATATGCCTGTTTCAAATACACAACTCCATAAAATTAGTCCTTTCCAGAGTCCCAATAAACAAAAGGATTTAGTAATCAAATTATGAAGAACTCAAGAAAAACCAGTCAAAAGCAACAGGAAGCAAATAAACTATTGCATTTGCTTTCCAAATCATCCCTGTTCCTCCAAGCATTCCTAAGTTCAAGAATGTTGTGGTCCATGACAAAAAAAAATAAGGAAAGAAGAAGATTAAGCAAGCAGTAATGGTTGAAGGAATGGTGACAGTACTTTAAACTGAGATAAGAAAAAGCCAATATGCCACCTGTCCTGCAGGGCACATTGTGAACAAGAACTCAATGGAGCCTTCCTTTGGAGGGGTTTCCAACCAACAGCATTATGACTTTCCCTATTAAACCTGGTACTCTTTATTGCCT